CCTCAGTTTAATCTGTCTGGTGTTTGATTTGGGCTTTTGGTCCTTGTCTGAATAACAGGGTTGCAATTCCTCTTGGTACACTTTCAATAAGAACATCTGAAACTCAGCTGCAGCCAAGCAAGATTTTCATTTTGGGTAATCTGATTTCAGCTTAGGTGATTAGCTGCTCCATTGTCAATGGCCAAATCTAAATGTCATTGTAGTTTCTCTTCTGGAGCTAACAAGTGTTAATGTCTTACAAGCTGGGTATTACTTCACACCTTCTCTTCTTAAACAACCTCTCCCAAAGCGTTTGCAAACAAAGGAGGTGATTTCAGACCCAAGCAAGAGGAAAATGGTAGCAATCACTTAGCAATTTTTTTTTTGTTGTGTGAAATGGACACAGTGGGCCACCTTTTAATATTCTGGGTATTAATACTGACCTGAAAAGCTTATATATTTATATTTAGCATTCATAATATAAACATACTTTTCATGACATAGATTAGATGAAGCTTTCCAGAACCAGATCCTCTTCAGGATACTCCCATAATTTTATGTGTGAGCGACTGCTCCAGAAATCAATGTGAAACTGGGACAAGACAGCTCTCCAAGTTTCATTAAAGATTATTTTTTTGGTTTGTAAAACTGTTTCCTCCAAAGTTTGTTTGATTTAGAATAATAAAAATAATAAAAAAAAAGATGGTGAAACAATTTATGACAGCTCTTCCTTTCCCTGCCAACCCTGTTAAATCAAAAAGACAGTTAGAAATGTAGAGTTAACCTAAGTACAAATGCTAAGCCTGAGAAGAAAAGGAGACAGCAATGATTGTATGAAGACAGGTTTTCTGTAATGCCAGTTTCCTTTTGGTTGGATTTCTACACCAAATGAAGCTAAGGTTTAGATACTGCTCTTGGAGAAATTATTCCAATCTTTTCTAAGGCTAAAAGCAGAAAGAAAATGCTATGATGGCTTGGAAAGGCAAATGAAAGTCAGCCTGCTCTGCTGTGTGTCAGCATTGCTAATGCTACACGTATGTAAAACAAAACCCACACAGCAGTGCTTATCAGCCTTCAGACTCTCTGCCCATGGAGCGCCCTGGGGGAACCCTGAAAAACCAGTTAAAAGTCCCTCCCAGTCCATGCTTCAGAGAAAACTCCAAAAGCCCTCACCTGAGATTCTAAGTGCTTTCCCATAAAATTGCCTCAGACTAATTGGAAAAGCAGGAACAATTGCAATCACTGCAATTGCCCTCAATGCCGTGATATTTAGAGTTTAGATTAAAGTCCACCCATGTGTCAATATTTCTCCAACTTCTAGGCCACTGGCATGCTTGCTTATCCCCAGCTCTGAGCAGCTCCAGCTGCTGTGGGTGAGCACACCCTGTCTGTGGCTGCTGGAATGGATGGAGGCAGGACCTGCTTGGCTGGGTGCCCTCCACACCAACCTATGGAAGTCTCCAGGTTCCTAATCTGCTCCTGCCCCACTGCTAGCCAGCCTGAATGAGGTGTCTTGTTTGTATCCAATAGCGTGGGTAAGACGGGCTGGCCTCAGGTGCTTGACCCTGGGCATTATTTTTCCCTTCAGTTGGGGCCTGCAATCATAAGTCTTGGTAGCAGCACGTGCACAGATGGTGTGGGAACAACAGGGAACAGAAGAGAGGATATGGGAAATTCAGGGCTTAAGATAGTCTTTCCAAGGAAGGATGGGGATATTATTTTACTCCAAAGCCTCCATTGGCAAAGGTCTCAGTGAAGAGCCTTGGCTAGAAATTCAAACTTCAGCTTGATTTCAGAGTCCCTGTGCATACCCTGGGCAGTGCACATACTTTCAGTTACTGTGGATACAGGAAGAACTGTTAATTAGTCAGTTTTCTGGCTAAGCAATAAGTATAAGTATTACAATAAAATCTGGCCACAAATTTGCTGTTTTGAATTTCTGTGTCTTAAATAATATCTTTGTGAACAGTTTTTCTAGATCTCTTCCCAGACTTCCCCATGCCAAACTACCCTGTATTTTGGAGTGTAGGCTCACTTAGGGCCAGCAACATGGGAAGTCAGCACCAGCAGTGCCTGCATTAACAGCTAAAATCTGCAAGAATTTGGATTTTAAGTATTTGATGCTTCCTGTGGTTCCCACCCCCACCCCTGTAATGATCACACAGAATTTTCATAACCTTTTATGTGTTGAAAAGAGGAGCCAGGTTTCTTGCTGTTTACAGTTATACATAATTTCTCAGATTCACTTTCCTTTATTGCTGTAGTTTTCCTTCCTCTGTTTTTACTCATCCCCACAGGCCATCTTTAGTCAGATTACTGACAACTGATTTAATCGGTGTCATAGGGATGAACTCTGAGAAGGTCTGATGGCACAGCATGAGCTGCCTGGAGCTGGCAACCAGTTGTAACATACCCCAAGTAACTATGCTTTTCTATTTATTTTTGTAGTCTTGAGTAATGATGCTCTTCTTCATAAATGGATTGGTTTTGGACAGCAGGATGCTAAACTGTTTTGAGGCTGTAATAGCTTTAAATAAACACCACTGAAGTACCAGGTGGGAATTTAACCAATGGTTGGAAATCAAGTCCTACACCCATCTTGGACAGGCCAAGTCAAATCTTCTTTTGGGTACCTCTTTATGGAGAAAGATAGTGAGAGTGCTGTGCTATGGAGCTGGAAACAAAGCAGGTCATTAGGAGCCTTGGGTAGGGTGCTGGGGAAAGGACTCTGCATGGGTCAGCTTGCACCTTAGGGCAGGTTGACTTCTGGCAAGGTGCTGGCTGGGTAGAGTGATGCATGCAGCTGGCTCCGAGTCAGTGGTGTTACTAGCTCTTCTGGCATGACATCACTACTCAGGAAGAATTAATTTTAGCAACAGAACATGACTTTGTGTTGAGAGGAAGTACACAGTCAGCTTTGAGTAAAAAGCACATGACTACAAAGGAGTGTGATTACTTCCGAATTGTGAAATAAATGAAAGTGGCTTGTGTATTGTCTTTCTGTGGTGCTGCTTATAGACAGCAGTTGTACAGCAGCACTTGAGTTTCCTTTCTGGAAATATGCTGCAGACCACAGGAAATTGCTAAGCTTAAATAAATATGTTTATTAATTATACAGGAAAACTACCAAGTATGGACCCCTTGTGATCACATTTCCCATTACATTCTGGTAACTGTTTGAAACTCGGGCAATAATCCTGAAACTCCAAATAGTAGAAGCCACATGGACTGTCCCTGGCTTCAGCAGAACTGCATGAGGATGTGAAGAGGGACTGAAGCATGGAGTGATGCAGCCTAAGATACCTTGTCCAGTCTTTGCAGCATGGGATCTCATATGGCTCTGACTACACAAAATTTTGGATTGCAGCCCTCTATTTTCTTTGCCATGTTCTCAGTTCCCTTACTTTTAATGAAGACTAACTTTGCATTAAAGAGATAATTGCTTCTGGCAAGATGGAATGTGGTACTTGCCACGTGCCATAGATTGCTGCAGTCTGAGCATAAAATGCCTGCTTCTGAGATCCCGACAAAATTACCTGACTCACCTTGGAAACATGGCAGGTAATGGCAGGATTGTATAAATTTAATACTGCTGTGAGGGGAAAGATGAATCCTGTGGAGGCAGGCACAAGAGGCTGCTGACCACAAGACATAAAGGAAAAATATCATGCTGAAAAAAAGCTGGTTTAAGGCCATTTGATTCATTGGTTTCCTCCTTGGAAATGTAAAAGAAGTGGAGAAAACTACCTTAGAAATAGAAGAGAGCTTGGCAATACCCATAATGAGGAATAAGGAGGAGCCGTTTGCTGCCATAGTGTGGGCAATGACTGACTAAATGCCATCATCAAAGGTTAATATCTGAAAACAATACTGGCCAACATTTCTGTGACTTTACAACACTCCAAGATTCAGCTGTTTGATGCTACCTGTCATCCTCTGGGAACAAGCTGGGACCATACAGATAGCAAACCACAGAGGCTATAGCTTCCTAGGGACTTGGATCTCCCAGGTTGCTACAAAGCAGCCCAACAACTCATTGAAGTCCTTTACTAAAATGATCAAGCTCCATCTTAAAACTCATCAGCTTATCTTGTCCCTACTGCCCGACTAGGAAGCTGACCCATCATCTCCATGTCTTTGGATAGTCAGCTAAGAATTTACAGAGAGCAGCTGCCGAGGTCTCACTTTGTTAAGCTGAAGGAGGCAGCCCCATGCATTCCTGTCTAATAAGAGGAGACTGGCATAGCCAGAAAGCCAGAGGGGTGTAAATGCTCTTCAGGAAGATTTTGAGGTGTTGTTCCCTTCATTACCGAGGTCAAGGAGCTGTCTAGCTGTGCTGCTTCTGTCCTGGCCAGCTGTGCTGGTGACACGCCGGCTCTGTGCCACCCCTTGAGCACATGGCCATGGAGGGCAGAGCCAAGCCCCATGTCGCTGAACAAGAGGAAGTGTTTGACTGTGCCAGGGAGGAAATTAGTTCAGGCCTTAAGGACAAGAGCAGCAGGCCACTCTTCCTTTGTGGAAGGAGCTTTGATGTGCAGTTATGATGTCCAGTTATCTGTCTGTCTAATTAAGAAGCAAGGCTCGTGAGGGCTGTCCTGTGGAAGGCTGCTGGCCTGAGCCACTGCACCGCCCAGAGGCGCAGCTCTGCGGATGAACCTGGAGGCTTCAGCTTGGCTGATGGACACCCAAACACCCTACAAATCCCTCCTGAGCCAGTCTCTCCACCAACTTTTTAAAGAGCTGAATCTCAACATAAATGTCAAAGAGGATTTGAACTACTTGTAATTTTGTATTAAAGATATGTTATGCTTGAAGGCCCAAGTGTCCATGAGGGTGGTTCAAACGCTATTTTTGCTTCTGCAAACAAAGGAACCCTTGATATCAAATGAGTGACTCTATCTCCCAAGTATGCTGTCCTGTCTAAATATGGAGATATTAGTAAGCATTTGTTTTCATTATCCAAAAAAGGAGGAATTGCTATTTCAATTTTTTTTCCTGAATTTTAATAGAGAGAAGAAAAAAACTTCTGGATGAGGACAGTTTTTTATTTTCCCAAGAAAAATTACTTCTGTGTGTGCAACACTGGCCTTGCTTCTGCAACAAAAATATTCTTTCAGGATATTTTGATGATGTCCCCTGAGGGGACATCATCAGCTGTTTTCCAGATGTTTTAGCCTTTCTTAATCATACTCCTTCATTGGCCACGAGATCTGATTCAAAGCTGAAGAATATCATTCCATCCGGCACAGCCCTTCTGAGTCTGCAGGAAGTATTTGGGTTTTGCAGCTTATAAACATGAATTTAATTAAAAGATAAACTGAAATAAATCTATCTACAGTGTAGTTATGTATACAACACACATTGGCAGTTTAGATCTACCAGCATTGCCACTAGGAGATGCATGTTCAGTTTATGTCTCATGTGTTTTATGCATCAGGTTGAACTTCATAACCCTGCCCTGGTAAATGTAGGGTGCCTTCCTATCCTCAATACTTAATATCATCTGAAAATTCCCTATCTTGCTGCCCACCTCTCTGTCTAGGTCATTTATGAGTCTATTGATCAGCAGGTCCCATCACAAATTGCTAAAGTCTGTCCATGACCTTCCTCCATTGTAAAAAGTTGTGATTTGTTTCCTTTTCTGTAACCAAGCAGTGGCCTGAGGGCTCTGGTGAGGAGTATTGTCAGAAGTCATTGGTCAAGAAGCAAGGTGCTCTCATTCTTTGCATCTGCCAAGAGTCAGTGCACAGTGGTTTCCCTGCCTGTTCTGTGACACAGGGATCTGCCTTTACCCTAAACAGCAAACTTTGGCTTTTAGCCTGAAGATCTCCATCAAAAAGACTGTTTTCCCCATTGCTCCGCTCTCTGTGTAGTCATTTATTCCTCCATGTAGTAGCGGTAAACTGCTCCTTAATCAAAACCGTACCCTCCACATCCATTTCCTATTGAACAATAATAATAGTGACTTGTATATTTCTCCTCTTAAAAGTAAATTGGCCGTGTGTGTCTCAGGGAGTTTATGCAGGGCCTAGTTTAGGGTGGGGCAAGCTGTGAATGAGGCCCCTGGGTTCTCCTTGGAGGCCTACCATGGAGATGACAGCCCTCTTTGTGACTGGAATCATGTCTGCTACACACATGGCCATCCTAAAGCTTTCTTTGCTCCATCAACAGATGTAGTCTCCGACTAGCAAAACAAAACACAGGAGAATTTTTGAAAAAGTAAGTTCTGACTATTTTTGAAAAGAGGCTTGGGGATTTTTTTGAAAAGTAGTTTTTTTGAAGCTTGGGGATTTTTTGAAAAGTATTTTTTCCCCATAATTTCTGTAAAAATTGAAATACTTTCTTTTAATTGTTCTTACATTGTTTATCTAGAAATCTTTGTTCAAGTCATGTTGAATTCAATGAATTTATCTTGTTTTCATTCATAAAGGACCAAGTCCTACAAACACCAGAACACAGCAGAGCTTTGTGAGAAGTGGACATATCCAACTTTGTATGCACTCTTGCTCTTGTTAGCTTCCTAGAAACAAATCAGCTAGTATTTTTTTTCTTTCAGAGGGAAGGGAAAAAAAGAAAGATCCTGTTTATGTGGATGATGAAAATAAATATTTTTAAATGGATGCCAAATGTTAGGCTAACAACCTTGAGAGTTTGATCTCACACCTCCTAAAAATGCAGATGAAGGAAAAACTCTCTAAAAAGTTTTTTCATGTTTTACTCTGGATTTTTCCAGTTATCAGACTCCTGGGATTTGCATTTTTGGGAAGAATGGTGTGGTGTGGCCCCTTGGCTTCACAGAGACTGAGAGTGAGGTGTCCTTTTGCTAGACTGAAGACAAGACTTACCAGCTCCTTTCCACTTCCCTGGCCCTGCGCTGGTTAGAGCATGTCAGAGCAGAAGCCACACTGAGGTCACAATGCCCCCAGTATCCTAGGATGAGCCCAAGGCTCGTTACTTACCTGTTCTGAGCACACACACTGTCACGGTTTCATCCTCCCCAGCCTCTCATTGTTTCTCCAAATATGCCAGTCAACTGGGATAGCAACATCATATTTTTGTGCCCATGCCTCAGCATTTTGCTTCTGCACTGGTACTGTGACCCCATCGATCCCTGACCTGCCCATGACAGGCTCAGACAGGAGAAAAGAGTCCAAACATAAAAACTCTCAAAAATGTAAGGTAGAATAATTTTTCTGCCATTTATTTTTTTTCTGCTGTCTACCACTGCTGTGGGAGAAGTCTACAAAAGTGAACAGCAGAGTAGGATTATGCAAGCCCAGGGGCAGTTCCTGTTACCATTGACCCGTCTCCAGGGGCTATAGAGTCCCACAGAGTCGTAACGGGAAGTTTTTCTGATGTGGGAAAGCTTGAAATTGTTTAAGCACCTGTTCACGTACTTCCACACGTGTCGGCTAGAGGAAGAGCCACAAAACTTAGGACGAAAACATACCCACTGGAAAGTAAGACTTGGTGGGGTCTTTTCTTTATTTTTTGCTTTTGTAAAGGATTTGGATGCAGGCAAGTAAAGAAAGGAATGTGGATTCTAATTTCTTGGTATTTGGTTATTCAAGGGAGTAAGAGGTACAGCAAAAATCCAACCTGCAGTTTGGCAGAGTACAATACCATTATTCCATAGGAAGTAGAGACCATTTATTTCAGTGCTCTCTCTTCCTGATTTGTAACTCCCATGTAAACTTTACACAGACTTCACAGAGCAGGACTGTGGCAGGTTCAAGGGGTAAGGTCTTTCCTGTACACTTAAATTAAAACAAATCTTGTATTTGCCAGAGGCAGCCTCCAGTTTGTTTTCATAAAGAGGAAGTGCAGTGAACTTCTTCATGGAGACTTCACTTATGATCTTCCTCATTTTATTTCCCCTTCATATTAAAATAGACCTTTTAGGCTGAAAGTTGATGATTCCTTTGTACATAACAGAGTGGTGTGAGATGAAAAATAGAAGCTAGTCCAGAATGACACACGGAAGAAAACAGCTTCAGCTGCAAATGCTGAACAAGTCGGGAATTGAAAATAATTTCTTCCTTTAAGCTGAAAAAAAATGTAGCAGGAAATAGAATGTCTGGGTGGCATGAGCAAAAGTCCTGGGATCAGATGCTTAAAGAAAAAGGAAATTGTTTAAGTATATGAAGTTTGTCTTAGAAACTGTTGGAGAGCAGAGATGAAGTAATCATTTGCTAATTGTGCCATACATTTTAGAGGTTCTCCTCATTTATTCTAGTCACATACATATGCACTCTTTTACTATGGAGAGCTATTTAGCCTGCAGAGAACCACATTTCAGTGTGCATTGTAAAACCACTATAGGAAGAGTGTTTAGTGAGCAGCTAATGACTTCCTTAAAAGGATAATACAGTTAACAGTTGAGAGGATGTACAGCTAAATATGGCCCTTGTAAAACTTAGCAGATTCCATTAGAAAACAGACACGCAGGAAGTGTCTAGTTCCTATTAGAACTGATTGTACACAGTTGCATGGGAAGAAATAAATTTAGTGTGCAGAATTTTACATCATATCCTTTGAAAGCATTGAAATTCTCTGGGGTCCACAAATCTGTGCATCTGGTCCACATACACACACATACAATTAACTGGTGTGCAATTACTTTAAAGGAAAATGTGCATCTAAAACTCAGAGTCTGCACATCCCAAAGTGAAGGGGAACAGCCTACTGACTGCAGCAGGCCTGGGTTTGGCTACACCTGAACCTGTAAGTTAGGCTCTCCCTCTACAGATCCTACACTCACCCAGAGGGATTCCAGGTCCATGTAAAGGAGGGGGAAATCCATCCCTGTAATTTATGTGTTAGAAAAGCAACTCCATTTTTTAATTTGATATCATTTTCTATTTTGAAAATTAAAACAGAGCTAATGCTAAAATTTTATTCATCTGATTAATCATTTATTATGAACAGCAATTATGCATTTAGTCTTACTCAAGTTAAATGATTTTATGAGACTGTGTTTATTTTCAAGGTATTTTCAAGGAAAAGATTTGGAGCCCGAATCATTTAGCATTGATAGGTCGCTGTTCACAGGAACCCGAAAAACCTTTCTCAATGTATTTGAAATGATTTTTTAATTCATTTGCAAGGACATCAGAGAATCAATTTGCCTCTAGCCACAATCCTGACGCCAGCAGGTAAAGCCAAGGAAATGACCCAGAGAGCATCAAGATAAATCTGTGATGAAATCCAAGGCAAAATTGCCTACCGGAAACCTAATGAACTGGACTCAGAGTACGTTCATGGACCCAAACAAAAGCTTCTTCTTCCCCAGAAATTTCCATTGACACAGTGAAGCTTCAAGCTTGTAGTGTGAGGATGCCCCAGATGAGTTCAGGACCTTAGGAAGGAGTGAAGTTTCAGGCATCTGAACAGCGAGGGCTCTCACTGGTTATTTGTGCTGCTGTGCAGACCACAGTGGGAACAAGACTCATGTGGGGCTTCATCGATCCATGCTGCCCTGTGTTCTGGCAGCTGAGGAGTGATCAAGGAAAGAAATGTTTAAAACAAATAGTTATAGAATTGTTTATGTTGGAAAAGACCTCTAAGATTTTTAAGTCCAACCATTAACCTGGCACTGCCAAGTGCGCCATTAAATTAAATGCCACAACCACATGTCTTTACACCCCTCTCTAGGGGTGGTGACTCCACCATTTCCCTGAACACCCTGTTCCAATGCCTGACAACCCTTTTACTGAAGAAGTTTTTCCTTATATCCAATCTAAACATCCCCAGGCACAATTTGAAGCCATTTCCTCTTGCCATATAGATTATTAGTTGAAAAAGGAGACTGACCCTCTCCTCACTACAGCCTCCTTTTAGGCAGTTGTAGAGAGTGAAAAGGTCACCCCTGAGCCTCCTTTTTTCCAGGCTAAACAAGCCCAGCCCCCTCAGCCACTCCTCATAGGACTTGTGCTCCAGACCCTTCTCCAGCTCCATCACCCTTTTCTGGACACCAGTCTTTTGTCTAGTGAGGGGCCCAAAACTGAACACCGAACTGAATTCAAGTTGTGGCCTCACCAGTGGGCAGTACAGGGGGGGACAATCACTGCCCTGGTCCTGCTGGCCACACTGTTTTTTATGAGGCCAGGATGCCACTAGCCTTCTCAACCACCTGGGCACACACTGACTCACATCCAGCCACTGTCAGCCACCACCTCCAGGTCCTTTCCAATGGGCCACTTTCCAGCCACTCTGCCCCCCAGCCTGTAGCACTGCCTGGGGTTTTTGTGACACAAGTGCAGGACTCATCACTTCACCTTGTGGAACCTCTGGAGCCACACAACTGGCCTAAGCCCAGCCTTACCCTTCCTACCCTCCAGCAAATCAACACTTCTACAGCCAAACAACCTTGAAACATCTTGCTTTGCAGCACCCCAAAATAATTCCCTTCCTCTGGTGGCAAATCCATCATAAACAGGGAAGTTAAAAACTCAGATTGACAGAAGAAAGCAGCAGCTTTTGAATCATAGAGGGAGTTCTTCTTTGGCAGGTTAATAACAACATATCACTGGGAGCAAATATTTTTCATATTCCAAAGAGAATATTAAACCAGTGTGGTAGACACATCTGGGTTCTCAGTACCAGTAAGCAAGAGGGAAGTGAAGAGTATCACTATTGCAGAGAAGAATGTTTAAAAATGAAGTGAACTTTTCATTGTGAGGCCTGGGTTTTATGTTGTATTTTTATTACTGCAGATGGTTTTGTGGGAAATATGGTGGCTACCCTGCTGTGATGGATGAATTACACTCAATTTAGAAGCCTGAATTTACAGTGTACAGGTTTTGAAGAAAATAAATAAACAGTTTCACACAGGAAATGAGCAGAAGTCTCTCTGTGGCACAGAGCATTTGCACATCATTGATTTGTGATCTGATATTTAATGGACTACCTTGTGTTGAGAATACGCCACTGACATAAACTTCACAAACAGCACCAACAACAAGCTTCCTAAAAGCCCAGGCAAAATGAATGCAGTCCCCAGCATATCTTGTCATCCCTTTTCCAACTCTGCTGAAGTGCTTGGGCTAACAGCTACTCTACCTGTGGCTTTTGCATAGTTTGTCCAGAACTGGAGTGATGCACTTATGTTTTTACACACCTAAAAATATCAGCAGGTTATAGATGTGCTGCTTAGAAACCTCTTTCAGCAACAGAATCATCACGGATGCGCTTCTGCTGAGCCAGAATCAAAACCACTTCACAAGGGCTGATGTGAGCTGCTGCACAAGACAGTGACTGGCTCTGGTGGGCCTCTTGTAGAGCTGTCACCAATCTCTTCCTTAACCTTCCCAGCCTAACCAAAACCTCGCTAATATTATTATTAGCACAACAGAAATCCTAGCACATGTTAAAAAACTTTAGAATTTGCCATATTTGCCCAAGATATCAGGGAAGGCTCAAGAATTTCTTGTCTCATCCTTCCCAGAATTGGTACTTCTGGTGGGATTTAGGCTCCTGGTCCAAGGATAGGCAGCAGCTGCCCAGTCTCATGACCTGTGAGGTTTACCTGGTGTCATTGTGGAGGGAGTTCATTAGCTCAGTTCTGTAATGTTGCCATCACTTTGTGTTCTCAGGCACAAGATCACCGGCAGCTACAGCCGTCTCTGGAGCCTTCTCAGGCAGAGTGGCTGTCTCAGGAGCATTTCTTCCCCCTCCTGCAGTCTGGAGAAGTTGAAACTTTGCACACCCAAGGTGACATCCTCATAAAGCCTGAGCAGGCACACCCCAATCACTTTCTCCACTTTCTGTGAAGGAGATGTTAGTCTTCTTTCCAGCTGATGGTTTGTTTACCCTGTTTCATTATTCTCTGTTGCTTCAAAGCAGCTGCCCTCTGGGCGAGAGCATGGCATACACCTTCTGGGTTTATGATATGCTCTTGTCATGGTTTGACGCTGGCACAATGCC